ACTGCTAAGGGAGGGAACATCAGGAAGCTAAGGTGTATATGGAGATGGGTGCCAATCTCTTGGGTGGCAACAACTGCCAGAGCGGGATGACAGAGGGCTGAAGCCTGCTAGCAAGAAAACAATACAAAGTCAGAAAAAGAATGAGCATTGGTCAGGACTTCTCAATTCAATTAGGGGTGTTTTTTCCCTCACTGTAAACTGCAGAACCATGTGCAGAGCTCAGGATCATCATAGGGCATTTTCTGGTCAGAATAGAAGCCAAATCCCGTGACATCCCAAGCAGCAAACAACCCTGCATTGGGAAAACTGAAAGGCATCTGGGGTCAACCCTTCTTGGCATAACTTGGAGCCAGAACATTCCCGTGGTGCCACCAGAGGCGGCCAGTCTCTTTTTCTATGGAAAGGTGGTATTCCCTGTGATGGATGCCTTTATTGCTACCTAAGTCACAAAGAGTTTACAAATAATGTAGTAAGTAAGAAAAAAACACCCACCACAGTCAACGTAAAAAGATGTTTCAAGAGAAATATATTATGGATACAAATTCCTAAACATTTTCACTACTGCTGTTGTTCCACTCTGCGCTGGAAACCTTACAAAATGCTACCTCAATTTCTGGGAACCAAGATACCCCAGCTTTCTGGAACAAGGTTAGCCCAGCTGGAATGGCTTCTCATGGTTAAAACAGATAAATAAAGTCAAGGGCAGCTCTCTAGTATGAACAGAACCTGGTTCATCCTTTGGGTGGATGGATGGTTCATCAGAACTTCAACCAGGTGTATAATCTCCTTTTTTTTTTTTTTAAATTTCTCTTTTCCCTTTTTTTGTGTCTGTGATTAGGGAAGTATCAGGCTTGGGCAGTCACCCCAACATGCTTCCCAGCACGTGGATGGGCAGAACACATCCTGCATCTGTCCATTCTGATCAAGTGGGCAGACCTCTACATTTCACATGCAGAAGGAAATGAGCCTACCAAATGTCTTAATGCTATCAAACGGGAGACAAATCTCTCCTTCCACTTCTGCTCTCCTGGCCCTATACAGTCCTGATCTTCTCTTGAATCAGCTATGGCACTCAATAAAAGCTCCTCCAGAAGAAAATAATCTGGTTTTCTGCTCTATTGGTTTCTGCAGGGCTGTTGAGTTTTATCAGCTCACAGAGGGATCAAGCACCAGAGAGGGAAAACTGAAAGCAGGGGGAATACATAGGGAGGAGTAGAGAGGAAAATCCCCAAGAAGGGACACAAACCTGCATTACCACCACTCCACAGCAAACGGGGTGCTGTGTTCCTGCTGGAGAGCCCTTCTGCAAACAAGCAAAGGTAGTTCCTGGATTTTAGGAGCTGTTTCAATTGCAGTTCACTTCTGTACGTATGACAACTGCAATACACCAGGAAAACTCTAAATCCTACCGTATTCACAGCTGGAGAACAGCACAGTCTGTCTTTGCTTCTGATGTGCAATCTGGCAAGAGGGACCTGCTACCCATTTCCCCAGTCAGAGACCCAACTTTAGCACTGTGGTGAGCAGGTATGGCACAGCATCCATTGCAACATGCATCTTTTGTACAGACATAGAAGAGCCCAACATCCCTACTGCACCATCAGAAATACGATATTTGCAGTAACTCCACACCCCATGTCCTAGGATCACTGGGAAAATCGGGATGTTCAGTGGCACAAGAAGAACCAAGCTCTGCTGGCAGTCTGGCCCCCAGTGCTTGCATCAGAGAGGGGAAAGGAACTGAATGCAGAGCGTGCCATTTGGGGAGGGTATTTAAATATTAACTGACTACAAGAGCACTGGCAGTGCTTTGATTAGCACACATGAGGAAGACATACTGTACAGCAGGCAGAGTCTCATTTAATCTGAATTAGGGAGTCAACATGCTTTTAATTACATCCTTAGCCAGGTACTCAGAGGGTTTTGTCATATCAGCTGTGGCCCAAGATTGTGGGTTATTTTTATACCAAGTTTTTACCAACACTTACAGATTTCCCCATCTCCCTGTCACTTCCCTGCCTTTGCTTTTATTATAATTCCAGAAGAATCAGCAGAGGGGAAAGGTTGTTTGCTCTTTATTTTAAAACAGCTATCATCTCTTCTACAGCATTTGCAATGCAAATGCTTCCACATTTTGCTAGCAGATGAGACTCAGGATCCTAACCGGGTCAATCTATCTACACTGCTCAAACAGATAAACCCAGGAGCTAAGCCCACTCATATTAGGTATCTGTCCAGCGTTGACATGGGTTCACAAATAACTACAGAAAGGCAGAGAATTCCATTAAGAGTTATGGCAAAACTCTGTATAATCTAGTGTCAGTAGAAAGCTCAATAACTTGTTGTCAGTTCAGATTATTTATATTGCCATAATCTGTGACAGCATCTGCATACCTACTTCAGAAATTTGTAGCTTCCTTATTGCCCACTGAGGAACACAAATATGTGAGAGGAAATAGCCCAAAACTAACCACAATGAAAAATACTCAGGTAAAAGCTTTTTCTGTGGCTTTCCAAGGTACAGACAGTGGCATGCTGAAGCTTAACCCCCTAATGCTGATGATGCATATGGCAAAGTATTGGAAAATAAAATACAACCTGACCAACAGGGTTTTTGTGAAAAAGAACAGTAATGAAGATGGCACACGAGCCTAGGAAACCAGTGACATAACCTCAGTTTTCAAATTGTTTCCTGGGGGCATTACATCCCTTCTTTCTACCCCACTGTTCCCTCTCTGTAACATGTGGAAAAGGAGAGCAGAGCACTACACCACCCCCAGGATACAGCAAGGATAATATTAAAGGCTATGAGGCACACAGATCATGAAAATAAGAAGCAGGTGACCGATTGCTGAGTTAACCCAGTTCATGGGCTATTTGTAGAACCCCTAACCCTAAATCAACTTTATTTTATTGAAACAGGAATGTGGGATGTTGCCAATAGTCTCTGTTGCAGAAGCCGCTAGCTGACACTGTCACTGGGACGTGGATGGCATAATGTCCTTGAGTGAAACTGTACCCTATGGAAGTCAACATGCATTTGCCAATGACCCTTTCTCCATGCAGAAACCCAAGCAAAGAATAACCTCCAGCAGAAATTTCTGGTTTTTTTCTACAGTGCTGTCTGGAGCTTTTGGCTAGAGAATATTATGACAACAGTCTCTGTCTTCAGTCTTTCCATCTCTCTGGTGTCTTCTCATCACCAGTCCACTCAGATATACCCAGTTTCCTTCATTGCTCAGTAGCTGCAAGCCCACCAGCAGCCTGCTGAGCGGTGTGGTCAACACCTGTGCTATGATGTTTATTCTCTTCAGCCTCTCCCCAGGAATTATTCCAGTCAAGGATGTCAAACCACTATACAAAATAGAATTTAAAAGCTTCCCTCTGTGAAGAAGGTATTACCATCCTTATCACTAACAAAGAAAAATCTGATGCACAGAACTGCGTTTTTAATAGAAGACATACATTTATATAATATTCATATTTTGCCCCAAGCAACAAGAAGCTTTCAGGAGAGCCAGACAGAGGTCTCCATCTTTTGGTCACCAAACATGTTTGAATCCAGCACAAAGGAACAGGAGCCTGCAGGCTTCTGAGTTTTGTTTTACATCACAAGTATCATTTCAGCCAACGTGGGCTGACCCCACTGTGGAACGAGGAAGATGAACTACCTAATGAACCGCACTCAGCCCTGGCTCTGGTGCTCACTTTAAACCATATGTCAGACAAGTATGGTCACGAAGCTCTCCTTTACAAAACCTCTGATAAAACAGGATGTCCAATGAATGGCTTTGATCGGTTATTGATCATGACCATTATTCCTGGACTGAAGGAACAGCAAAGTGCACAATGAAGCCTTCCCCATGACCCTCTCCTGTAGCAGCATGTCTCCCAGTCCTCAAACAAAACTGCACTGCTGCCTCCCTGCTCCTGCCCCTAGCAGGTGCTTTGAGGACGAGGATCCTTAACAAAATAATAAAATTGAGCATGAGTCTGTTCTTTGGAAAACATTTTTCTTTCTCTAGTAACTTAAAGAGAAAGAGCAAAGGTGCAGCACTGAAGGACTTTTACCACTCAGCAGCATTAACTCATTTCTCTTTTCCTGTGCTGCCAAGAGCCAGAAATAAATCTACATCTATATAGATCTATATAATCTAGATCACCTGGATGGGCTAATAAGAAACTGTGTGCAAAATGAAGTGCCAAAGTCTAAGAGCTTGAAAACCATTAAGATGAGTCAGGTTGTTAATTCCAGATCAAATTTCCACAGACGCTGTGGACATTCCAGCTAGGCTTCAAACTTGGCAGCTTGATCTCTACAATGTCCCAAACCTGAAACTCATATGCAACAAACACCAAATCCTTGGCTGACCCCTGGGGTTTGAACATCAAGAGACCCGTGTGTCCCCAAAATCCAGACATTAGCTTGAACAGATAGAGATCTAAAAAAAAAAAAAACAAAACCAAAAACAAACAAAAAAAACCCTACCACCACAAAAAAAAAAAACCAATCCCTAAACAACAAAACAAAACAAAACCCTGAGATCTTCTAATTGCCTTTTGTTTGATCTTCCCCTTTCTCCATGCTGCAGTTACAGCAAATGCATTATGAACACTTGATGTCCAGCTCCAGGACTTAAGTATACTGGCATCAGTGGTTCCTGATGGGTTTTCAAGACAATGCAGGGGTAAGTGTTGGGTGCAGAGGCCCAAGTCAGTATAATTACAGGGAGCTCACTTAACTCTTGTGTCTGTATTCAGAATCACCTCAGTTAATGATTTTCCACCCAGCCTATCTCCCAGCCTATTGCTCTGTAGCCTTACAGAAATACCCCACTGCAAGGAAAGTAAGGGGTAGGAAATGTGTGAAGGGGAACAACGTACAGTGTGATGTATCACCCCACCTTCTCTTTTTCAGCTACATCCTCCCACATTGCTAAAACCAACATGTCTTCCCTTTTCATATCCAGGCAGAGACAAATAGGTGATTAGTGTCTTACCCTGATAAGACACCCAGCACCAAGTTGAGCATGAAGAAAGAGCCAATGATGATGAGAGGGATGAAATAAAGCCAGTTCCAGGTATTTCCTGCAGCATCATTTGTCTGTAAGCAAAGAAGAAGGGAGAGAGAAAAACAAGTATTAATTCACCACAGAAACAAAATACCATACAGAAACTTCAGGGCAGAGGGCAGGGGAGATTCCCCTCAGATTTCCATACGGCTGTCCACCACTGATGTACTGGTTAGTTCTGTTATGTTCACCAGTTGAAATGCCAGGAGAAAGAACTAATGAACCAACCTGATTGTCCCACCATCCACACCATGGTCTGTCATCAGCTCCACTGAGAAGATTCACCTAATTCCACAGCTCCAGGCTGACCCTGCTGCAGGGCCAAAACATGCTTTTAAGTGACCTACCTCTGTGCAGGCTTTCTACACCAGCCTCTTCCCTCCCTACCTCAACTCTGACTTCTCATGTGCTGAGCATCAGTGTCATATTTACATCTGAATTGAGACACACAACAACGGGAGGGAACCACAGTCTTCCGTTAATCTGTGCTGCAATTAAGGCAGAGGGTGGCACCATGCCCAGAATCTGTGCATACACACAGAGCAGGAGAAGACAAGAAGTCTGCAAGAAAATGAGGCATCTTCAGAGTGATTGCAATTCCACATCTGCTTACTCAGCACTTCGGGCTTCTGTCATCAAAACCCGTCTGAAGCTCCCTGAGTAAGCAGCAGTCTAGATTAAGGGGAGGGAAGGGTGGTTTAGTTTATGACAAACTTTCTGCATTCATCAACCACAAGGGAGCTCTTTAAGGAATTGCTGAAAAGTAAAATGCCACATGGCCATTTACTGAAGCCAAGTGCTGAGAAAAATGCAAATTCTTCTCTTGTGAGTGAAGAATGCAGCAATTTGAGAATCTGATGTCAGGTGTAAGGGAGGGAAAAAAGGAAGCAAAAAGAAAAGACAAGACCCAAAGACATTCTCCTCCTCTTCCCTCCTCCTGCAGAGGGTAAAGAATAACATCAACACAGAGCTCACCTACCTGCCCAACCACAGAGGCTGGCAGAGACCACAGAGAAGCGCTCTCAAACACCAACTTGCAAAAAATGCATTCATTCTAACTGATATTGGTGCCTTTTATTTACTATCTGTGGTGCTTTTTGGTCACTAGTCCCAATCATATTTGCAAGTATAATTTTGCTTGCAGAATGATTCATAGAAAGAAGTGCTTTAAATGTGCTTTATTTCAGCCATGCATGCACTTGATGCCACCTCGAAATGTCTCTGTGTAAGTAGAAGTCACCCAATAAACAAGCAAAACCAACATGTGATGTGGGTGACCGATGTCATAACATTTCTTACAGGTAATAACATTTATAGCATTGATGCAAGTAAATACCTTCTGAGACATTTTTAATATGGTGCATATCTGCGCAAATTCTTCCTCAAGTAACATGCTCCGGATCAAACACATGACAAGCATTTCTCCAAATAGCAAATATCTTCAGAAATATCTATGTCAGTTGATCAGTGACTCACCCAAGAGGAACAGGGACTAACTAACCTCGCCACAAACCACGCCTGCTAAAGGCAAAACCAGTGCGTGACAGACAAATGAAGCTGAAGAGAAAACAGGCTGGGAAAATGAGAGCAGAAAGACACGGAAAACACTGTGCAGCCCAATCTCTCATTAGGGTTTTTAAATGCCTTTTGCAATACCTGTCATCCCATCCCAGCAGCACCACTTCTTCGTTCACTGTTTTGTCTTTCCATTCCTCTCTCTCTACTTTTAGCTATTTCCTTTCCCTGTTCTGCACGGCATCCATACACATGGGTTCGGAGGAAATGAAGCACTGAGGACGAGTGCTTTTCCCCAACACTTGGGGAAAGTGCCTGGTACAGCCCCAGCCTGCTCTCCTGGGATTACCAGAGTGAAACCCATATTTTTATATTTAGAGGCTGTTCTTCAATTCTCCTTTTGTCAACCGATTCATGCCTATGGCTGGAGCAAGCGCGTCCCATTCAGCAAGGCTGGGGACTGCCGTCAGCCAGGCAAGGGGGGCTGGAGAGCCAGCCCACAAGGAAGAGCTGGAGGAAGGGAACAGATGGAAGAAGGGAAACCACATAAACATGCAAAGAGAGTGCAGCAGGTTCATTGCTGCCAAATGATCGTTTATCATTTATTTATTCATTTGAAGCCCAAACTTGGCGACAGATCCACAATTCCATGCCACGATCAAAGCCCTTAAAAATGAAATGTGCTGAAATATGACTAATTAACCACCCTCCTCTGAGCATTTGCTAGACTACCTTATGCTCAGGGCAGGGCAGGGACTCGCTCTGTTTGCTCTGCCTCGCACACAGAGATCCAGGACAAACTAGAGGGCAAAACACCAGGCAAAAGGGTCAACAGAAAACCTCTCCCAAGAAAGCAGAGCCTTCACAGACATGCAACATCTTTCTCAGTGCTCCCAAGCATGCTTGAACCCAATCACAGTTTATGGCACTGGCTCTGCCATGCTGAGATGCTTTAATGAATCAAATCTGTTTGCTGCCAGGAAAACCGAACTCCTGTCCTCCAGGGAGAGCCTGCAGAGTTCCGCAGGCACCCCTGCCCACGCTGAGCAGAGGAGGCAGCCCTCCGCCCATAAAGCAACTGGGGCTTGGGCTGTGGCTCAGCTCCAGGCTTGCTCATTAAGCAGGATGATCCCAGAGATCAAATCAATTTTTATGTTCCAGCTAAAACATTTCACTGGTGTAACGCCTGGCTGACTGTCAGTGCTACTTGATCCTAACCACAGGTCTAACACGACAGGGAAGAAGGAGAAATGAAATACTTGTCACGATGTGCCAGAATTACATCCAAATACAGTAAGGGCTTACAGGAGGGCTCCCTCACTGCTCAGGAGCCAAGGAACCCACTGGTTCGCAACAGCTGCAGGGCTCTTCACAAGCACCCCCTGAACAGTGCCCGCATGAAGCTGAAGCCTTGCTCCAAGAATCCCTGGGCACCAGCATCAAACAGCTCATGTGTCTTAAACTTGACAGCACAAGACTCCCACAGGCAAGGTGCTGCACAGCGGGAAACTGAGGCACGGGAAATCTAAGGGACACTTTCAGGGTCACAGCAGAGAACCAGAGATCTGTACCTCAGGCGTCTAAAGCCCATACAAACTGTCCAGACCCTGGAGTGCTCTTCCCAACAAGCCCAGCTACCATCCTCCCTCTGCCTAACTCTGCTTAGCTCCAAGCTGCTTCCACCCCCTGATCTGGCACTTGTATCAAGAGGTACCCACCATGCCTATTCACAGCTGGTGCCTCCTTTTCCCTTCTTTTTTTTTTTTTTTTCACCTTTCTTTCTGAAAGTCTAACCTAAATCCCCAACAGCATCCTTCTAGCCTCTTTCATGTGACTCTGCTTCATCATCCACCCCAGAGCCTGATGCCACTGCTCAGCAGGAGAGCCCAGGTTGCAGCTGAATGCCAAAGGACAATCTTTATATGTTGAGTCTCTGTGCAGTTGGCTTTAAGCACCTAGGGGCTCTCTCCTCCCTTTCACACAGCACTGAGTGATTGCCAGCATCCCCAAGCAGTGCCAGCATGCCCACCTCTCTACAGAGGTAGGTGGGTGAATACTCTCATCTATAACAAATGCAGAAGCTAAACGGCTTCTGTCATGCAGGGAGATTAATGTCCTGAGCTCCCAATAAAGCCAAAGAGAACGGAGTGTCCTCCAGCAAAGCACAAGATACTTCCCATAACCAAGCCTTTTGTGACTTGTCCAACATCAGAGAAAGGCCAGTATTAACACTCACTTTTGTCTCAGACACAGAGCGCCATTAGGCCACTGCTTCATTATGTTAACAAGATGGCAGCTGCATCTGATTATTAATTCATTTAAAGATATGTTTTGAAACAATTGACTTGAAAGCAGCCTACTGCTGCTTGCAATGTGCTGCAGAGACCAAAAATGCTTTTCTATTACCTTTCATCTTCCTTTCTGCAGCCCTGGCCATGGCCCATGTTCCTGGTGCATGTGGGGAGGCAGAGCCCTTGTGTCTGGCTGCCCTGAGACGAGTTTCTCATGTTGCTGGAGCTTCTTGCTGCTGCAAGACCAGAAGCAGCTTTGCTCCAGCCAGTCCCATCCCATCACCATGAAATGGTCAGCAAAGCCCTGCCTGCTCCGACATCCTTCTCCCAGCCCATCACCATCCCGGCAGCACAACGCCAGCTCTCTGGGGACCCTGCTTACTTTCAGCTCGGTGCTCCCTGTGGCTGGGGCATCACCAGGGGGGTCTCGCAGCCTGCCAGCCTCACGGCCGAATCCCACGTGCTGCTGACTTCACACAGGGCTGATCAAAGGGAGCAGGAGCTGGTTTGGTAGGGGAAGGAGCATGTAAATACTCCACAGCGCTTCCTTGACAGCGAGGCTTCCGTCAGCAGTGGGGAGTTATTGGGAAAACTATGACAGCCCCTGCAGAAAAAAGACCCAGCAGCCCCCAAGGAAGGGAAACCTGAGCAGTTTCTACCGGGGTTGCTTGATCACAGTTTGCATCAGCGATGAGATTCTGGTTCTGCAATCCCAACATAACACACGCACAATTAAGTGAAATTTGGTTTACATGCAGCCTCATGAACAGGCAAGTGACGGCCTCTGTTCAACAGGTGGCAAATCTTAGGTTTTGGGAGGTTTACAGACTGCAAATTAGACCAAGTCAAACACAGAATAATCCCCCAAACCCTGCCCCTCTCTTTTCTCTAAGCAGACAGCACAGCCGCTCACAAACTCCCACTCTCCTCCGGCTTCTGCAACACAATCTAAATCTATATTTCATGTGGCGAGAGGGATAGGGGATTTCCACGTACCTAGGCATGTGTGCCACTGACCAGCAGCCAGCAAATTGGCATACTAAGGCCGTGCCCCAAGGGTCAATCTGAGACCTGATGGATCTGCAACTCAAAGCTGACAGCTTCTCCTAGCTGGTGCAAACAGACGACCTGCCACCACTCTGCACTGCCCACAACCCCATTCAGCGCATGCCAAGGACCAAGTGAGCCAGGTAGTAATAGCACATGTTTAAATAACTTATTCAAAC